TAGAGCACAACTGATACAATATCCGAATTGTTAAGATGCGCGTACCCATGAGAATGGATTAGAATCAGACTATTGTCGACAGGAGTAAGTTCGAAATGAGTACGCCAAATTTCGTGGTGATCGATATTGGTCCATTTTGCAATAGTATGCTTCCATCGTGGTAAATTTGTATTAAATAATGATTTCGCAATCATTTGGAGAACAAATCCTGTCCGTTGCACGCAAAACATAAGTGAAATCAGCGTGCTTCTAGGTGGGTGAGTCAAAAAAGAAACAGACAAAGAAGCACTAGGCAGATTATCTTCGTAAAGGGACTTTGTCGTTTGTTGAGTTTTATGGAGAGTTTGAATTCGTTTGAGACACTGATGAACGAGGCCGGGACGGAACGGAAGCATACTACATACAAGAACACCGAGCAGTTGTCTATACGGTGGTCTTCCACTAGAGCAAGTGGTCGATCTCCATAGGTTACGTTGGTTGGAGCATGTGTTACCAGATAGGTTGCCACGGTGGGTGATTTTTACCGAGGCAGGGAGCGGTTGGAAAAAGGTCAAGGGTGGTCAAACGAAGATTTGGTATGAGTAGAAAACCCTAAGCAGGGAGCTGCGTCAAATAGGTCCGGTTAGGCTCCCTGGCTAGGGATCAAGAGATGATCTTAACTAATGGTCGGAGACCCTGAGTGATATAGCTGAGTGTCGTAAACAGTGGCTTTCGTGCATCCTCTCCACTGAAATTACCCTGAGTTAATTGAGGTATCTGATGACACACTGATTCACGATCAGCAACGCCGTCTTGACCATTGGACTGAACGCTTCAAGGCTCAGTTCAACTGACCCCAATCGAAATCTGACCTAACACCCTCCACCTTGGCTGGGCAGGTACACCCAGTTGATATCAGTCCTCCATCTGAAATGAAGTCACCCGGGAAATAAGTTACCTCAAGCGACATAAGGCTCCCGGCCCCGACGGGCTGTTCCCGTCCGTTTTTAAAGATCGAGGTCCAGCCTTGGTTTTGTAGTTAACGAAACTCCTGGGTTCAGTGTGGGAAAAGAAACAGGTTCCAGCTGAATGGTGCGAATAAGTGATCATACCGATTTACAAGAAAGGTGACAGATCCTCCTGTGAAAACCACAGAGGAATCCTCAATATTGCCCCTAAACTTCTCGCCGGTATCATACTCCGTCGATTGTCTGCCGCACGTGACATCGTCTCTAAACTTCTCGCTGGCATCATACTCCGTCGATTGTCTGCCACACGTGAACGGTGCACGCGTGAGAACCAGGCTGGTTTAAAACCTAGTCGAGGTTGTATCGACTAAATTTTCACTCTTCGCCAAACTCTGGAGCACCGACATTCTTTTCGTAGACCCACCATCTTTGTCTTCCTCGATCCGAAAGCGGCTTTCGACTCAGTCGACCGCTCTAAACTCTGGTGGTGCCTTTCCCTGAAGGGTGTGCCCAAGAAGCTAATTTCAATAATACAATCCCTTTATACAAATAGCCAAAATCGAGTCCGAGCTTACGGCACCTTTTCGTCCGATTTCACCACCGAAAGTGTACTTCTTCAGGGTTGCAATTTCTCTCCTTTACTATTTAACTTCGTTATAGACTTGATTATGGAAACAGCCCTATCCTTGTGCGAGGATAGTAGCATCGATTTACTCCCAGGTGGCAGGCTGTCTGACCTAGAATATGTAGACAACATTGTTCTACTAAGTGAAGATCCAGGTAAGTTACAAGCCTTTCTGGATAGTTTGAGTGCTAGTGTAGCGATGTTCGGTATGTGTTTTGCACCTTCAAAATGTAAAACGTTACTTCAAAACTGGGTTGGTCCAGCACCCAGCCTCACTCTAACTGGAGAAGTAATAGAGCGAGTGGATAAGTTTTGTTACTTGAGCAGCTACATCTCACTCGGCGTAGTGTCTGCTCGCATACAGAAAGCTTGGTTGGTATTTGCCAACTTGAGACATCTGTGGCGCCGTCGCGACATCCGGCTGTCTGTGAAAGGTCGGGTGTATGCTGCAGTAGTTCGGCTAGTTCTGTTATATGGAGCAGAGAAGTGACCATTAAGAAAATAGGATAAAGATAGACTGTCGGAGTTCGAACACCACTGTCTACGCAGCATTGCACGAATCTGGTGGGGCAGCCGGACGAGCAATGCTGAGGTTAG